CCCCCTGTCAGACCCCCTGGAGGTGAAGTCGTCAGCCTCGGCAGAGTGGAGCGGTTCAAATAAAGGTACGAACACACGTCTGTTTGTCCTGAGGGTTGTTCAGCACTCGGAGGATTTATTCAGAGCCACAGACAGAGCTTCAGTGTTTTTTACAAATGACCGCGTAGACGATAGGACTGACAGCTGAGAGCAGACACAACGAGACAGAGAGAGATACAGGAGGACGGGGGGGGAAGAAGCAGTGAAATGCTAAATGTGTGGGTGCTGCTGATGAGGTTGTGTGACGCTGGTTACTACCAATTTAATGTTACAGTCGTTTCAGCGAAGGGAAATGACTGTTGGACTCTTGTTATAATGATCATTTACTAGCAATGAATATAACTGAACATTTCTAAAGAATATAGGCTTCTCATTCTATTATCTGCCCTTTAAATGTCAAGAAGAAGTTTCCTGTCAGAGCAAATGTGTTATCAGTGTGAAAACGTTCATATTCTCTACATGTGCTGATTTGGAGCTGAAGGTGTGGTGCTGCTCCTGTGAGGCCCTATGTGTGTGAAATCATCCATCATAACATAGAGATATCAAACCTAATTATTATATTAACTGTGTGAAGAAAACTAGTTTGATCTAGCTTTCAGTGATTCCAGTACAAACTACTTCAACCTTATTCTTCACAATAAAATAGAAATAATAATATGTTTGTAATTATTATAACAAATTCAGGTGTCTCTCAGTAAAACCGATGCAGTGTAAATGTGTCTTAAACCACTCAAACTATTAGACAACACACCCGCAAGTGATACTTCACTTACAGATACAGATCAATTGATTATTATCATTTGTTTACCAATTATTTACAATACGTTACCTTTTTCTTGCATGCCTCCATGGCGAGTTTTAGAATAGGGGTCAGCAGAACTATCAAAACATCCTCTTCCAAAAATATTAGTATTTATAACAAATCTTCATAAAGAGTACTTGCATGGAAGAGTATAAGAAGAGTTTATAGAATAGTTCAATTATGGTTAAAGCTGCACCTATTTACCCCAATTCATCAGGATTGGATTGACCAATGAGGCATGGCGAGCAAAAAAAGGTTTCTGAAATGACCAAGGGTTACTAATTAATCTACAAATGATCTTTTTTATGCCTGAAATATTCCTTTCAAAATCATCTGATGTCCACACAGCGCCTCCACCCATTCANCAAATCTTCATAAAGAGTACTTGCATGGAAGAGTATAAGAAGAGTTTATAGAATAGTTCAATTATGGTTAAAGCTGCACCTATTTAATAATAATAATAATAATAACTTTTATTTATATAGCGCTTTTCAATAA